ATCATAATAATGAAAGAAGTTTGATTTGTCTTAAATTAAATAAAATGGTGACAACTAACTTGCTTGTTCATATTGGATTATGATGCTACTATAGGTTTATCTCTTTTAATTTCTGGCTCGATTGATCGACCTCATTATGCTTGGCCTGGCCTACATAATTGTATTGCATACATGAAGAAAATGATTGTCAGTGACACATATAAATTATATAATCTCATTTATTTCCAGGCGATGATGAACAACAGCCAGCCAGGAAGCTACTATAAGTCTATAATGAATGCAAGAATTTTGAGTAGAAATGTACAATAATTATTAGCTAGCTATAAGCCAAGAATGTCTTTGTGTATTTATCAATCACTACAGATGAGATGGAAATAAATTCTGATAATAATGGAGGCTAGAAATGAAGGAATGTTTGGCCAATATTTTTTTTTTTTTTTTTTTTTTTTTGTGTTTAATTTTCAAAAGCATATATAGAATTAATTAACATTTTCCAATAATTGAATTGGATCCTATCTGATCTGATCTCATCGCATCTGCAGCACATACAGCTACTTGTGTATTGAGTCATGTATGTATGTATGTATCATGTATGTATGTATGTATGTGATGGAGACTCCATACCCATTTTGGACCACTAGCTGCTGCATGCATGCATTTTGGATTTGCATAATATAATGCAATCGAATTGAATAGCTTTGTATTAATTGTATGTGTTTTGGACCACTAATTTCAATATAATGCCGGCCTGTTTAGTAGTCTCTCTATATCAGAATGGATAATGATATATGTTTCATGCTAAGGGATAAACACCCACATTAATTATTAATTAATAAGAAAATATTCATGACCTATCGAGATCTGATTAAAAATTTTAAGTGATTTATTGATCAAATAAGAATGATTCTAATTACCAGGACTATGTAGTCTAATGGTATCTGGGTTGGAGTTCCATTTGGAAGGTTGTATGTTTGAGCCTCAGTGGAGGCGTTATTGGTTCTTTGTGTTTCAGTAGGTTGAGAAAGTATATGAACAGATACTATATTATAATAGAAAAAAAAAAAAAAAGAATGATTCTAATTAAGTTTTATTTGGATCGGAGTTTAAGAAAATTTTCTCTCTTAACTCTTATTTAATTTGGAGTTTATCTATACAAGAAGAAAGAAGCCAATGGATCGATTGTCGTTTATTCACTCCTTAGGACCACCTACTCTTCCCTCTTAACAAAGAAACCACCCTTTCTTCTTCATCATATGGCCCCAAAAATAAACCCCATTAATGGCCTTCAAAACAAACTCTTTCATGTACATGTACCACTACAATGATGATGTAGTGAAACCTTTAACTTAATTTAATAAAAAGAAAAACAAGGCTACAGTTTTTTTTTTTTTTTTTTTTTGAACGTATAATTCAATATCCCTACTATTAAGATTAATTTGGATTTGATCCCAATGGCACTTGCAGACTCCAAACTCTTATTCGGAAAAGACTTGACTAGAGTTTTGTGTAAAAGTTGTCTTTATTTAGGTTATTTTATTCTTGAATTATTCTTAATGGGTTTGGTTGGTTCTCTAAAAGTTCAAGCATTTGATATATAATTGGGTCAACACTTTGTATTAGTTCAGTCCAACATAAATTTTTTTTAATTTGCAGCACAAGCACATCTAGGTGAGGAATCTTTTAAGTTTTTATGTAAAAGTTGTGGCTCTATTTATTTTCTTTAATTTATTTCACATGATTCAATTGATGAGTATATGAGAGTGAGAAGTGAACGTATTATTAAACATCTACAAAGAGAATAAATAGGGAGCAAGAAGGAAACAAGTTATACAAACCCAAAGGACTAGCAAAAGACTAACAACCTAAACTAAGTCTAAGTCTCAACACGCCCCGCAAGATGGAAGCATCATCGGTGAGACCAATCTTGGACCTGAACGCAGTAAATAAACGACTGCCAAGCGGCTTAGTCAAAAGATCAGCAACTTGCTCAGATGATCTCACGTAACTCACTCGCAGGGAGCCAAAAGCAACTTGTTCACGGACAAAGAAGTAATCAAGAGTCGCTTTATCCGAGAGTGAAAGGTCGGGTTCTTGCAGACGTAAGAAGCACTCAAATTGTCAGTAACCAAAACCCGGGAAACCTGTAATCGGACCCCAAGTTCACGCAATAGACTCTGATCCACATAACCTCAGCAGCGGAATTAATTAGCAAGCGCGGGGAACTCAGCCTCCGTGGAAGAACGAGACATAGAGTATTATTTCGCAGACCTCCAGGACACAACATTCGGACCAAAATAAACAACATAGGCAATGGTCGAGTGACCTCCATCACACTGAATATGAATAAGCCATAAGGGAAATAGACTGACCCCTGCGAAAGTGCAAACCATGATGTAGCGTGCCCTTCAAGTAGCGAAGTACTCGCTTCACAGATTGCCAATGCAGCTCAGTGGGTGAGGCCATAAACTGAGCTAAGCGGTTCACTGCAAATGAGATCTCTGGTCAGGTAATAGCCAAATACTGCAACTGGCCAATCGCTTGTCGGTACACGGTGGCATCAAAAGCTGGAGAGGCAGCAGCGCACAAGTCCACAGAAGTGCTCATCGGTGTCGACACCTCTTTCGCCCCCATCATACCAAATTGCTCCAAAGTATCAATCACATACTGAGACTGTGACAAAAACAAACCACTGGTAGTAGGAACAACTTCAACACCCAAAAAGTGATGAAGTGGTCCTAATTCATTAAGCGAAAAACGATGCACCAAACGACTCACAAACACATCAATGAACACATCATTATTCCCTGTCAAAATAATATCGTCTACGTATACCAGAAAGTACACAATTACATCCCGAGAACAATAAATAAACATACATGAATCAACCATAGATTTCTTGAAACCAAACAAAATAAGAGATTTAGATAGCTCCAGGTACCAAGCCCGCAGGACTTGTTTTAAACCATAAATCGCTTTCCATAGCTTACAGACATAACCAGGCAACTGTTGATCAACAAAACCAGTCGGTTGTTCTATATAAACCTCTTCAAACAAAGTGACATTTAAAAAGGCGTTGTTCATGTCCAACTAGCGCAACGACCATCCCTGCGACAAGGAGATGGTGAGAATAACCCAAATAGTCACCAATTTGACCACCGGACTAAACGTCTCAAAATAGTCACGACCGGCCTCTTGTAAAAAATCTTTCGCCACTAACCAAGCCTTGAACCTGTCAACCGAGCCATCAGCTCTGCGTTTTACCCGGAAGATCCACTTGCAACCAACCACGGCAGGGCTAAGTCGCGGTACTAACTCCCATGTTTTATTTCTCACCAACGCATTAAATTCACCGGTCATGGCAGCTGCCCACAACTCGTTCTTTAACGTTTGCGACACCGTCTGTGGCTCAATTGACGAAGCAATGGGATGAACGGTGGCCACATTCACCATCTTGTCGTTAAAATATTTAGGATTTGGACGGCATTGTCGTTGAGGCCGGGACGTCGCGAGAGGCTGGGAGTTCAACTCTTGTGTCTCTGAGGTGATCAATGTAGACCTCACGGGTTCCGAAACGGAGACATCTGGTATTGAAGCAACGACTGAAGGTCCTAGACGTATGTAGCCCACGAGGTCCAGGCCTGTGAACGTAGACTCCACTTGTTTTTTCCAAATGGAAAAATTAGAGGTTGTGAGTTTGATTGGTAGGTGAGATGGGGCATAGATTTGGATAACATTGGATTGAGTCGTGGCAGTCATAATAGAACGAGAAGGGAAAGGAAAGGAAAAAAAAAATCTCGCTAGAGTAATGGCTCTGATACCATATGAAAGTGAGAAATGAACGTATTATTAAACATAGGAAGTAAATAGGGAGCAACACACATAAAGAAAACAAGTTATACAAGCCCAAAGGACTAGACAAAAGACTAACAACCTAAACTAAGTCTGCTAAGTCTCAACAGAGTAGTGTTGGTCCGATCCTTAAAAGTTCAAACATCAAAACATGTTAATATATCATAACATCACTAATATATAATTGGTATTAGTTCGGTCTATAATGGAGTTCTTTTTTTTTTTGAAAGCCTATAATGGAGTTCTTAATTTGTGGTAATACATATATCGATCTATGGCATGATCGAGATCGAAGCTTAAAGCCCCGTCCAATAATTGGAAAACTATTTGGTTTTTGAGAAAAAAAAAAATGGAAAACATATGTGAAGGAATTAAGTAATTAAAAAGCGCGGGCATTAACGGAAGATGATGGGATGATGCATGGGATCATTATATTCATCATATATATTAGGGCAGGTTGGAAAGAAGCAAGGGAAAATAAATAGGTTGGAGGTGGGGATGTTGACTGGGCAAGGGCACAGCTAGGGTTTCGGATGTTTGCTTCTTCTGCTTGGCCGGGGATGTGACCTGTCTTTAGGCGACAACCATATCATCACCTTAATTAAATAATATTATTACTTTATATTTAGTTTAATAATAACTTTAATCCGACACCGTTGACAGATATTCCGTCTCATTTTATGTGTCTTGTTCTATTGGAATTATAAATAGGTAATCATATGTTCGAATTCTTGTGATGGGGACTTAAATTCTTTGAAATAAAAATGTTTGAGAAAGTATAGATCAGAATAGATACTACCTCAGAGTAGTACAATGTAATTATTATTATTATTATTTTTGGAAAAGAGTAATTATTTTATTTGATTAGATGCACATGCATAATGTAGCTTAATGTTGAAGATGAACATGCCATGTGTGTATGTCACAATGTTGAATAACATTGAACCCACAAAACAAGATGCCAATGTCTTACACTGTACTATATCTTAAATCAGCAGAGTTCTCCAGGCCAGTATATATGTATAGTCGTCCTTTGAGTTAAAGACCAACGTACGTGCCATGTGTCTCCACATGCATGGTGGGTGGAAACCTTAAGACGTGTTGATATACAGTAATAGGAACCACATATATATATATACAATGCTCATCAACCATTTATATATCTCATTACTCTCTCTGTTGTCATTGAGAAAGAATAGAATCCAATTGAAGGTGATCAAAGAGAAGCTACGAGTAAACCAGAAATTAAAATGGCGACAATGCTGATCCATGGAGAGACTGATCTTTGCCTTGGCCTCCCCGGTGGTAATAATGAATCTGCGGAGTGCTTGAAGATAACCAGAAAAAGAGAGTTTTCTGAGACTGTAGACCTCAAACTCAACCTTCCAATTCAACCCAATAGTGCTGACAAGAAGATGAAAGCTTCTTCTTCTTCTTCTTCTGCTTCTTCCCACCATGAACCTATCCTCAAGGATCCCATCATGCCACCACCCAAGTATGTTTCACTACTTCAATTCTTTCTAAAAAATGTAAACTGCATGCCTAATTAAGTTGTCCATAATTACGTTGATCGGCTCAAACCAAGAAATTAAAGTTAGTTTGTTGAAAGTCGTCGAACTTGTAACTAATTTGGTTGGGGTTAAACAACAATTTTGCAGGGCACAAGTGGTGGGTTGGCCTCCAGTGAAGAATTACAGAAAGAAGATGGCCCAGAAGAGCAACACGGAGGGATCAGAAGAGAAAAGTAGTAGTAGCAGCAGCAGTAGCAGTGCAGCAAATCTGGTGAAGGTGTGCATGGATGGTGCGCCTTACCTTAGAAAGGTGGACTTGAAGATATACACAAGCTACCAAAACCTCTATGATGCCTTGGCCAACATGTTCACTTCCTTCACTACAATTGGTAGGTTCCATCATGCATGCTGTTTCTAGCTAGCTAGATTGTATACTCTAGTACAATTTATTTTTTTTTTAGTGACGAGGGAAATTCACAACTATTACTCAAGGGTGTGGACCAGATAAATCTTATTTCACTACTGGAAATTATGAAATTTCCGACCACCTGAAAGTGATCTTGAATCAAATTGATACCAAAAAGTGGTCGGAAATAGCAACAAAGGTTTTTCCGGATACCAAAAGTGATCGGAACAAGGCTTTCAACTTGATTTAAGATCACTTTCAGGTGGTCGGAAATTTCATAATTTCCAGTAGTATTTATCCGTAGCCAAGAAAAGATCATAAACAGGCAAACCAACTTAGCTAGGTTGTCCATATAGCTTGACGAGATCAAATAGGCCAGGCCAATAGGTTGTTTTGACTGGGAGTCAAACTTGTAAGATTGTAGTTATTACCAAGTGAATAGCTTGATTAATTTGGATGGATTAATAGTTAATACTAACTAATTAGATGGATTTATTTCATACTTGGAAAAAGAAAACACCACTAAAATATTACACAAATCTAGATTAGACAACCAACCCCTAAAACCTTTTCCACCCGTTAACACTCAAGACATCTTAGAATATAATGTGCGATATTATATGAAAAAAGATTATTGGTCATCAATCTAGAGATAAAAGTTGTTACACTACAATATCTTGATATATATATATTAAGAATATTCAAACCTTTGATCTTTGATATGATCTTTTGATCCTTTTGATATTAGACCAAGAATTTTTTTCTTAGTCAAAGTTAACTAGTGAGCCTTTATTTCAAAGGCTTGATGAGTACAAATTAAATTTAGGTTGAGTTGAGATGAGACATGCATATCTATATTGTGATCTAAAAAGTAAAATGATGAGTACATGTTGTGATATGTGTACATTGTATATGCATTGCAGGTAATAATGGAATGATAGATTTCATGAATGAGAGGAAGCTAATGGACCTACTCAACACTTCCGAATATGTGCCCACCTATGAAGATAAGGATGGAGATTGGATGCTCGTGGGAGACGTTCCCTGGGAGTAAGCCCCTACCCCCTCTCTCTACTTTCAAACAAATTACTTTCAACTCCGGAGAGTTAGTCAAATTGTTAACTCGATAACTATTAAGATCGATTTCAAATTTCACTCTCTGTGAGAGTGTCCTATATATTTACCTTCTCAATTTTAGTCAATCAGCTATGAGTAATTTATGCTGATTTATGAGCAATTTTAGAGCCTGATTGATAAAGGAACAGAATCTATACAATTGTAGACTTGTTTAGTGTTCATTTAATAATATTCAAGAACAAGTTCATAAACAAGCAGTTGAAAATATATATTAATAGTTGTGTTGTTTGTTTGGTTATTGTTTATGAACATAGATTATTTCTTGTTCACGAACATGAATGTAATGTGTTCACGAACATGTTTGCAAACGTTAACGAACATGTTTGTGAACGTGTTCGCGAACGTTAATGAACACTAATGAACGCTTAGCATACGAACACGAACATGATTTTCAAAAACCTTAACAAACGAACACGAACACGAACACTCCAAAAATCTTAATAAACGAACACGAAGAATCTCTATTCGTTCATTTTCGGTTCATTAACAGTCCTAGTAATAACAAATCTTTTGATAATACTCAGGATGTTTGTGGAGTCGTGCAATCGCCTACGCATAATGAGAGGATCAGAAGCACCAAGGGCTATGAAAATCTGCAAGAGCAGGAGCTGAGACGTTACTTATATACATGGAACATGGACATTCGATTTCTTTCAAGCTGAGCATATTTAGAGAGAGGGGGGAGGGGGTGGAACTAAGAGCTAGGACTTCATTATGTATGTAACTATATATGTTGCTTCTTTGTTGTTCCTGAATTGTATTTTGATTATGTACTTTTTTTTTTTTTTATGAGGAGTGAAACTCGCAACTACTACTTAATGGTGTGTATGTATTGGGTAAATCTCGTTTATGTGTAATAGTCTGCAAATTATATATACAAAAAAAGTAAATGACATTATTAGGAAGACTATGTATGATGAGTTTAATCTTAATTATATAGTCATTCCTTAATATATGTAGTGCTTGTGTGTGTGTATATTGGTATATTGAAGTTTATTTCTTTAGGGAACAAGTACATGTGCATGATTTCATTGTGTCTTTAATTTGTATATTATATATATTATATATGGCCTGTAAACACATATGTATGTAGATCAATTATTTTGTTGGTGATTGAGGATCATGCGCATGGGAGAGGAGAGTAATTGTATGCTTTCATGTTGCCGCACCACTTTTAATAGCTGTTAGCTTTTAATTTGGTCCCTCTATGAGTTTGTGTTGTAGGGATGTTTGGAGTACTTATAAGTCAAGTACTCCATATCTTGTTTTTTTTTTTTCTTTTTTTTTCTTTTTTATGGGAGCCGGGTGAGAGGGGGACTCAGAAACAAACTATGCGCTATTCTTTTGGGGTGTTATTATTGCTCTATCATTCTCGAGATTGCCTCTAATATCCATTAGAGGAACTTGAAACTGGATCCCGTCACAATTTCTGCGGGGGCAACCTTAGCCAATCAGTTCGCCACTTCATTGAACTCTCGGGAAGTATGTTACTTCCCGATCCTTGATGAGCCATTCCTTGCACACTTGCACGATGCTGGCACACAGCCTTATCGGCTCGGGTCCTTTAGTAAGTCAGTCCACCATTGCATCCCGTGGTCATCTGAGGCGAAGTGAAGGAGGTATCTGTGTGGAGCACAATCCAATCCTCCTGAGGCTGGATCCACTGCTTTGAGTTATTATGGTTTTTTTTTTTTTTCTAAATGTAGTGTTAATGTTAAGTAATTATGCTTCTTTTTTTTTTTTAATCTAAACGTAGTGTTAATGTTAAGTAATTATAAGAAAATAGAATTACATATTATCTACTAGTTAATGTTATTTATGACTTCTTGGATAGTTTATTAAATTTATAGTTACTCTTCAAAAATTTTAAAATCGATCAATGTTACTAATGGAATTTCACTTCTTATTCCATCTTTTTCCCTTCAAATTACACTCCAATATAATGCCATAACTTACTAGATAAAACCAAAAAAAAAACAAAAAAAACAAAAAAAAAAAACAAAAAACAAAAAAACAAAAAAAAAAACAAAACA